ACGTCAACCAACAACATTGAGATCGTTACGTATGCAGATGATTGTACGATTATGAGGTCGGGTCCTATCATTGAGGAAATATGTTTTAAGTTGAACGCCTAGCTCACCGATTTAGCAGCCTCCTTCCACGTGAGGAATATGCAAGTATTCATCACGAAATCTTCGGTCACATTGTTCACCACATGGACTATGAAGATGAGAATGTCACTAGATGTACAGGTCGAGGGGCATACAATTATCGGTCACATTTGGCAGCATTTTCAAAACATCCTCGCAAATCACAGCTATTTGCGATAAGGTCCTCAAGACGCTTACTGGCAGTACTTAGGGCGCAGATAAGGAAAATTTGTACCTCATAAAAAACAATAGGCTAGCTATGTGGTACCAGTGTGGTGTGCGAATACTAGTGCTACGCAATGGAGATGTATTCAGACCTGTAAGAACGACGATCTGAAAACTGCTTATGACACCAGTGGACCATCTTCATGAGGTTACGAAGTCAGCATAGCCAGGCGTGTCAGGAAGGATATGCTTTTGCCCTAAAGAGAGAGTTCAGCGACATAAAAGGAGCCTCTATTCAATTCGCATATCGAGTAGGTCTAAATAGCAGTTATACTGATGCAGTTGCCGCAGCTCTTAATGAATACAGAGTGAAGCCGTTGAATTCAGTTTGGTTCCTTTCTCCTCTATTGGGAAAATATAAAATAAAAAATCTCAAATTGACTAAAACAGAACAAGTAACTATACTTCAACATCGCGGAGACCTCAAAGTCTAAAGTCTTGAAGTTAATCAACTAGAAAGATCTCACGTTATTACCATTGTTTCTTCATTAATTTACAGAATCGGACGGATTTGTGGAAATCTTTGGCAGACTATTTCAGTGTTAACAATTCAGTATCGCTTTGACAGACTAGCACCTTAAAGGTTTCAAAAATGTATACTCTATGTGAGTCTCTATAAGTATATATCGACGGAAATTATTATGTCATATATCGCTGAAGATTGCAAAATCCTCTTCAAAATTTTTATATTTTCTTCTTCTCCATCTCGCCAAAAAATCATCTTACCTTTAGCATCTGGGAAAGTGGTATTCAACAATGGCAATGTAAACATCATCATGGTCATGTTGGTCGAGCCATTAGCACGTTCGAAATTCATTACCATAATGTGTTGAGCAGTGGCGGGTCCCCAATTAATTTGCATAGATTGTGTGGTATTCTTATCACAGTCAACATGATCAACAGCGGCATCCTTGGGAATGTTATATAAGCCATAAACCATTTTATTATCTGGAAAAAAAAATTTTCAGATAGAATCAATTGAGAAAAAATATAATCTTACTTACCTTTGGTTTCATAAGTGAAATTCAATTGTACTGCCATTTTAACCATAATGCATGATGCATTCCATGTTGCCACCTCGGGTTCGGGATAGGGTTTGGGTGGTACTGGTTTAACTGTGGTGGTCGGAACTGGTGCTGGTGTTGTTGTATCGGGTGCACTTGTAGTGGTTGTGGGAGCGGCTGTTGTTGTAGTTGTTGTTGGGGCCGGAGTAGTTGTGGGTGCTTCTGTAGTTGTTGTTGTGGTGGTGGTAGTTGTTGTAGTGCTTGTGGTGCTTTTTGTTGTATGCTTCTCAGGTAAAATTGTTGTAGAAGGTACTTCAGCTTTGCTCAAATTGACGCTCATTTGAGCCGCTAGAAAATAAAAAGAAAAAAATTGATTATTAATGGAAAATGAAAAATATTTTATTATGAAATTTAACAGAGAGAAAATAGAACAAAGAATGGGTCAATTTCGAGTAAAAGACAGCCATATCAGAAAGAATCTTCGTGATCTAAAGAGGTATACTAATAGAATTATAAAGGATTGAATTTTATTCACACTGGTACAGTTAAAGAAATAGTTCGAAAATACAATTCTCGGAGAACACCCGCTAGCGATAGCAAAAAAGCAGCAGGACCGAGTTTGTCTCGGAGTGGTTTTGACACATTTGAGATCTAGATGGCGTTTTGCACCAATTGGGGGCGAATTGATGGCATGGAGGATATCATTCCGTCATGCAGTAATTGACCACATCATGTGATACCCCTTTTTAACTTAACCTCACATAACCCCCTTATCCTCACCATGGACTCATAACGCAGCATTTTTAAATTAGAAGCAGAGCCAAATTTTGCAGAGAAATTTTTAACAACCCAATTGTTATTCGCTCAATGATAGTTATAATTCCGAAACGGATTATATTATTGATTCATACTTTTCAAATCATGCTGTATTGATTCACATATTTCTAAGTAATATTGAAAATAAACAACTCGGCTGCCCTTTTTCTTTTAGACGCCGCCACTTAGGTCATTGCAATAGTCTATATATTAAAACTGATAATTTCCAAATAAACATTGAGAATAAAAATTATAAACTGCAATAACTTATACAAATTAAAAATAATTTGTCATTCAAAATTGATAAGCGAAAAATTATTGAAATGAAAAAAGTAATACTGGAAAAGGAAACATTGTTTTGGAATCGTGTGAAGATTACACTAAAAAATCCCAAAATAAATTAAAAACAATTATAAAAAAAAATAAACCAAAAAAAAAACATATTCAGATAATTCCGAAAAACAAAGAAGTCCATTAAAAAAATAAAATTTTAACAAAACCAAACAAGGGGAGAGTTGTGTTGTTTTGCGATTTCAAAATTTATCTTTGTTTATATTCTGTAAAACAAATTGCATTTAAGCAAATGTGAATCATTATTCGACTTCCTCCTCCTCTTCCTCTTGAAAAGGGCGGTTGATTATTGCACACACACTCACATAACCATTTGTTTTGTTTTAATGGCGATTATTTGTTGATGATGCATGCATAATGAAGTTTAATCGCGTAAAAAAACAACAGTATTCAGTAATAGTCACAAAAAGAAACCGAGAAAAAAAATCACTACTGGTTGCCAAGTGCCAAATAAGGAAACTTTATATAAATATAACAAAAACAACAAAATATGTATATCATATAATAATAATAACAAAAACAATAACTGTAATTTCAAACCAAAATATTGGCAATTAATTTCAATTGCAATACGATATCACCGCAGCCGCAGTTGTATAATTTAAATATGTATTGTTTTTTTCTTTTTACTTTATTTATTGTTTTGTTTTCATGTGTTTTATTAGAAGTGATATCGAAAAGCAATGCAAACCTCGGCTAGAGCTCATTAGACAGACTTTTATTAGTTATACAAAAAACAAATTTTTTAACTAAATTCGGCATATATATAAAATTCCTGATTATATTTAAGATTAATGACGACTTGTATTTTTGAATTGTGTATCTGTCATTTACAGAGAGTGCTATATTATTTCCTTAAAATGTTTTTGAGTTTGTCTTTAAAAATAATCCTTTGATATGGTTCGAATTTACATATATGAAACCAAACGTGCTTGTATTGATGATAATGTGATAGAAAAAAGTTATTATACCCTTCACCACACAGTGATACAGGGTATTATGTCTTTGTGCATATGTTTGTAACAGGCAAAAGGAATCGAGATAGACCCATGGTTCCTTTTAAGAATATGCATAGAATCACTTTCCGAGTCGATTTACGCATGTCCGTCTGTCCGTCCGTCCGCCCATGTATTTTTGTTAACAATGTACAGGTCGCACTTATGGTCCGATTTGGATGAAATTTGGCACAGTTCACTTATTTGGCCCAAGGACGAACCCTATTGAAATTGCTCCCATATATGGTTAGGTTAGGTTAGGTTTGGGATGTACGGCTGTTGTAACAGCCGTCCACTCGGAGACTATGTCCATTGTGATCATCCATTATTTATAGGTGTACCTATAAAGAGAAAGAAGAAAAGATAGTGAAAGAGTAGAGAGAGAGGTAGTCAGAATAGGAGGGAGCGGAAGCGGAAGAGACATTATTTTAGCCAAGTCAATTTTTTGACAAAGCCTAGAATTAGGTTAGGGTCTATTTTGGAGAAGAAGACTAGATTATCAATTTCATAACATCCAAACTGTTTATGTCTTCTGCTGATCAGCGATGGACATTTGCAAAGGATGTGCTCAATTGTTTCCACTTCTTCTTCATCCTCACATAGACGACAGTAATCCTCTCCACTGGAGTCCCACTTAGAAGTGAGAGATCTAACTTTGCAGTGACCAGTAATGATCCCCACAACGATCTTAATCTCCCTCTTGTTGTGATCCAGCAGCGAAGACGTTCTTTTATGAGAGAATTCTGGCCAGATAGATTTAGAGATTCTGCATGCAGATTCCCTTAGCCATCTGTTGCCGACTACCTCACAATAGAACGCGCGGATTCTGCCAATGAAATAGCTAATAGGGGGTTTCACAGACCTCTCAATCAGAAGACTGGACGACTGTGACCCCCCTCGAGCAAGCTCGTCGGCTATCTCATTCCCTTCAATATCGTTATGTCCTGGAACCCAGCATAACCCAACTATTTGACGTATATCATTCAGAGCGGTCTTACAATCATGAACTGCTTTCGAGTTTATAGTATGCGACTTCACCGCTTTCAGGGCCGCCTGACTATCTACGTAAATAGTCACCGGTCCTGTAAAGTCTGTATTAAGTGCTTTTACTATCTCGGCCGCTTTCGTGATTGCAAGAATCTCTGCTTGAAAAACGCTACAATCATTGTTGAGTTTATATGAGTTTCGTATACCTAATTCCCTGCAGTAGACGCCTGCGCCAGTGCCTTCTTCCATCTTGGACCCGTCTGTGAAGATTGACAGACCTGGCAGAGGTAGGGAGCCATATATTAGGAAATTCGATTTAATGTCATTAAAATCCCTGTGGGGGGGAATATAATCACTGATATGACTATCCCCCCTAAAAAGGTCATTACTTGGCGTTATGTTTAGAATGCTGGCATGACCATAGTTCCGCGATTTCAAGGCATCTGTTTCCCGGAGTCTCAGGGCACACCTAGCAGCCTGGAATTTGATCAGAATGTCCAATGGTTGGAGATTCAAGATTGCGTTCAAGGCTGCTTGTGGTGTGCTTCTTAATGCTCCAGTGATCAGAATTGAAGCCGATCGCTGTACTAAGCTCAGTCTTGTCAGCAGCTTCTTTTATTCACCCCCTGCCACCAGACAAGACATCCATAGGTAAGTATGGGTAAGACAATCGTCGTATACAGCCAGTGTATAATTCCGGGTCTCAATCCCCAACTCTTGCCTATGGAGTTCTTGCATGAATAGAGTGCCATCAATCCCTTCTTAGAGCGTTCCTCGACATTCCTATTCCACAGTAACTTGCGGTCTAGGACAGTGCCAAGATATTTAGCTTCATCAGAGAGGGTTAATGTCACTCCACCAAGTGATGGCAGACGGAAACTAGGAACTTTGTATTTCCTAGTGAAGAGTACCAGTTCGGTTTTTGTGGGGTTTACACCAAGACCTTTGGTGCAAGCCCAATTTGACAGGGTTGAAAGAGCACCCTCCAGGATGTCTGATATTGTCGTAATAAACTTACCCCCAACCAACAAGACTACATCATCGGCATAGGCTACAACCTTTATCCTGAGATGATTGAATTTCATAAGTATGCTCCCATATATAGTTTCGTCCGCTTTTATGTAAATGATGCACCAAACTCCCAATATTTGTCCAATTGAGACTAAATTTTGCATAGAGTACTGAATCATATTCAGATTGATGTCTGCGAAGTTTTTTTTTTTTTTTAAATCGGTTTAGATTTAGATATATCTCCCATATATAGTTTCGTCCGATTTTATGTGAATGATGCACCAAACTCCCAATATTTGTCCAATTGGGACAAAATTCCGCACAAAGAACTTAATTCGGCGCAGACTGATGTCTGCGAAGATTTGTTAAAAACGGTTCAGATTTGGACATAGCTACCATATATAGTTTCGTCCGATTTTTTCTACACCAAACTCCTAATATTTGTCCGATTGGGACAAAATTTTGCACAGAGTATTGCATTAGATTCAGACTGATGACTGCGAAGTCTTTTTAATTCGGTTCAGATCTAGATATAGCTCCTAGGTTTTACATAAATTTTCGTTCGAATATATATATATATATATATATGTAAAAAAGGTTACACGAAATTTGGCAGAGGATATTAAATTGAATTTAGTGATTACAAAAGAACAAATAGTGTATGCAACGGTTCCTCAATTAGTTTCAGAATGGTATGTGTATGGGGTTTTTCAATTGGTTCAAATATTTATCTAGATAGCACATTTAATTTCGCCCGATTTCATCTCGATGATCCTCCAAAGATTCTATGACCGTTCTATCTAAAGGATATTGTAGATATTAACATGTCTTGCATGTACCCCACTTTGGATATCATATAGTCGGCCCCGTCCGACTTTTGAACTGTCCTTACTGGTTTTTGATTGTGTGTGTGGCCCTGAGACGTCAACGCACTTTTTTACAAATCTGTAAAATTTTTAACTAATACTAATTTATCATATGTCTTTGGTTCTACTTTTTTTATAATTAAGTATCAGAGGACAATAAAGTATCAGAGGCCATAAAGTTTTTTTGCCTGTTGAATAAGATAAAGAGCTCTAAAAAAGTGCCGAACGGTCCCCAGTCTCCCCTATATATTTCCCAGCGATTTTATGCGAATGATGCACTGAAGAGCCTATGTTTATTCGATTAATACGAAAGTAGGCAGAG